TTGCACAATGACCCATATTCAAAATTAGACGGAGCAGAAATTCCTGTAGTGGAACAACACAAATTTCTAGGCATTATCTTTGATAAGAATTTAACGTTCATTCCTCATCTAAAATATTTGAAAAAAATGTAGAAAAGCCCTACTGTACAAAACTGGATTACGCTAGTTTTATATATGTGCCGGCCAGAAAGCCGTACCTAAAACCTTTCAAAGATCAGTACTCGGGGCTTTTAGAACATTCCCAGTGGAGATCATATACACAGAAGCTAATGAAACGCATCCAAATTTACAGTGCACTAAACTGGCACTATAGTAGTATGTAAAAATGAAATTATGCCTTACTAACCCAACTCACAACAATACCTTTGAAGCAAATTACTGCGATCTGTTAGGACAAAAGATAATGCTATACAACCCTACAGACTCAGGATGAAATCCATTGTTGAAGAGTTAGGCATCTATATTTTCAAATATACGAGTAACGACAGGAGTCTGTATTCTACCATGGACTATCAATCAACACGAAGTTCAGGTAGACTCACATTCCAGCAGAAGTTTCAGGACATATTAGAAAACTTCCCTAACCATACACCCATTTATACAGATAGGTCAAAATGTGAGGATATGCAGTAGTGAGCCAAAATATTACCAAAAATGGCACTTCCCAAAGAGAAGCTCCATTTTCACTGTAGAGTCTTATGTAATCGAACTAGCTGTGAACATTGACTCACTATCCTATGAGCTTTGAAGGGAAAAATCCATCAACCCACTTATGAAAATATTCTGCAAAATAAGCACGATTAACAAACATAAAGACATCAAAGTCTGCTGGATTCTTAACGACATCGGAGTTAAAGGTAATAATGAAGCAGATTAAGTTGCCAAGTCGGCTTTAGATGTGAATGTGGATACAACGACCAAAATCCCATAGACAGATTTTAAGGAGATTATTAAGAAATACATTCAAAAGGAATGGCAACGGTACTGGGACGATAAACCACACAAAAAAAAACTCTTCGCAATTGAATCCAAATTAGGAGATTGGAAGTCAGTTTCCAGAAAATCTCGTAATGAAAAATTGGTACCGGCCTGCGTACGTATTGGCCACTCGTACTTACTAAACAAAGAAGATCAACTATCGTGACAAACATTTAAATTGTCATATACTATTAAACTTATATTAACCGAGTGCTCAGATTTTTTTTCTCTCTCAAGACAAAAATATTACAATATAAACAATATGTATGAGCTTTTCGAAAAAGTCAAAATGGATGATATAATATCATTTCTCAAAACAATAGAATTCTGCCAAAAATTATAAAGCAAATGAGAATGTCAAAATCAATTTCTCTACAAACCGTGTATCTGAAAAGAATACATCAATAAAATCAGACTCTTGACAACAATAACAATCCTCTTTACAAAAGTATATCAAGGAAACCAGATCTACAAACTGTTTCCTTACAAAGAATATATATTTTATTCCTACGAATCTATTGTAAAAATCTTGTCGGCATTAAATCACCCATTATGGTGTTGATATGCCGTAAAGCAAACCAAACCAAACTAGCTTTTTCTTTGACATCTTCAGTGTCTTATTGTTCATCGTTCATGTTCGAATTATCTACTGCCATATTATCAAGGCAAAAGTATATCATTGTTGCGGGCGATTTAATCACTCACAAACATATATTGAATGACAGAAGATAAGAACAAAAAAAGAAAACTTCAGTAAAAGATATATTGTCAAGAATATTTTCGTTTGAGAAAATATATCAACCAAAATAAGGTTACAGTGCACTAGGTAAAAAAAAAAATATCTGCATGTTCATGTGGAGGGTGAGAAGAGCGTTGTCCTGAAAAGGACAGTTTTGCAGTCGCTGAAAAGCGTTGTCTTGAAAAGAACAGTTTTGTAATTGCTGAAGAGCGTTGTCCTTGAAAGGACAGTTTTGTAACCGGTGACAATTGTTGTCCTGAAAAGGGCACAGTTTATCGCATAATGTTGGCTGGCTGGAGCTGGATGACTGCTGGGGCTGCGGATGCTGATGAAAGGAACGTTTGTGGATGATGGCTGAAGCCGTCGGACGGATAGCTGCTGCTGCTGCTGCTGGAAAAGATAGTACAGTTTGATCATCCTCGTCTTGGTAGTGGAATGGTTATTTACCTCAACCTCTCCACTGTGATGAGATGTGACCTAACTTCGAGTTTAATGTGGGGAACCCGAGCGCATACGCTCGAACAAAGGAGAAAATTTGCTTAGCTCCCGCAACGGTCGTTTGCGCTGGCATTGGTATGACAACAGATTCCTGCTTTCTAGGGCAATAGCTGTGCAGCCTCGGGCCTCTGTTCCCCGGGAACGAGCACCTAACTATTTTTATTTCCACCAGCTGCACGTCTTTTCACAGACAGAGATGCAACTGAGAAATGATAATCATTCCCCGACATGGGCCGCAGAATGGTTATTTTCCAAGTGTAGCTTAGATGTGGCTAAGGCCGAAAGTATTAGGCACTTATTGAGGATCGAACTACCTTTTCAGTCGTAACTGATTTAGCGAGACATGCTTGCTAACCATTACACGACGCCGAGGTACCCTGGGCCGCAGAATGGTTATTTTCCAAGTGTAGCTTAGATGTGGCACAAGGCCGAAAGTATGGGGCATCCAGATCTAGCAAGACAAGCTTGCTAACTATTACACGACGCCGAGGTTCCCTGGGCCGCAGAATGTTACTTTTCAAGCTTTGGGGTATTTTTATATCCTGATTCAGTTTTACAACAATCGCTGGTTAACCTTTTCCTTACGTTTGTTTTTTTTATAAAATGTTTGATTGTCAACGGATACGAAATTATCATAAGGTGGTCAATATGGCGTCTTTAAAAAACCCTGAGAAAGCATTGCACTATTAAGAGTACTGAAGATGAAAATATAAATGACAGCCGTGATACACAGATCAGCGCCATGCCTGTAGAATTGCAAAAGTAGAAGGTCATTGTCAGTATTAACATAAAACAATGGGGCTATTTTTATCGTCAGGAAATTCCACCCTGGCTGAAGATACATGCAATATATGAACAATGATTATTAAAAACGTTATTCATGTAAAACATGACATCAGGACTATGATTGCTTATTGTTAGTATTATTAGAATCTTACTTATTATAAAACGCAGATTGTGTGAGTGTGTGTGTGTCTGTAACGTTTATATATTGGATCGGATTTCCTACATTTTTCAACCGATTTCAATAAAACTTCATAGGACTACATAAAATTACCTTGTGGTGGTTCTAACAGCGCCAAAAATGGGAAAAATATAATTGTTTTTGCACAAAAACAATTTGAAAACACGATTAAGAGACATCGTGAAAATAGAAGGGGGACAACTCACATCGGTTTGTTTGTGTGTGGGGGTTACTTTAAATATGGGAGCGGATTTCCTATATTTTTCAGCCGATAAAACAAAACTTCACTTTTTTTTTTTTTGGCAGGTAGTGTTTCTTATTCTCTTGCACACTTTTTTCTTTATTTTTAACATTCAGAATGCTTTAAAAATTTCATTTACAAGACAATTGTTTATAATAAAATTCTATTCAATCAGTAGACTCATAACGATTGAAAACAATGTTTTTGTTTGCGTTTGGGTTTGACCAATTCGTAAAAAATAAAAAAAAATAAAAAAACTAATTAAGACATGCGTGTCCGTCAACCTTAAACAATAATCTAACGATCTCTACTGATTGTACGAATACAAACATCGGAATAAATTCTTTATCTTTAGGGAAAGATAATGAAATCTAAACATACACAAGTCTTAACTAAAAATAATAACCGGAACGGGAAACGACTTTAAATACACATGGTGTCCAATTTTTTTACTATATTCAATAAGTAAAAATCATAAATTGTAAAAGATTATTATATATTACAGAGAAGGCTACTAAATGAATAAGATTTGTTAGATCATAATTAATAAACCCAAATAAAGTTAATATTTTTTGTATTAGAAACAACGAGTGAAAAATATATTCAAATCAGAATTCTAATTATGAATCACCACAAGCAAAATATGCAATTTTTTTTACTGTATTCAATAAGTAAAAATCATAAATTGTAAAGCTAAAAGATTACAGAAAGGCTACCTACATTTTTCAACCAATTTCAACAAAACTTCACTTTTTTTTTTGGCATATAGTGTTTTTATTGTCTTCTTTACACCTTTTTCTTTTATTTTTACATTCAGAATGCTTTAAAAATTCCATTTACAAGACAATTGTTTATAATAAAATACTATTCAATCAGTAGACTCATAACGATTGAAAACAATGTTTTTGTTTGAGTTTGGGTATGACCAATTCGTAAAAAATAAAAAATAAAAAAAAAACTAATTAAGACATGCGTATCCGTCAACCTTAAACAATAATCTTTGTCAATTTTATTTTTCAGTCTTTATGATGGTGGATACTTGATCTATCTCTTACTGTTATATCCCCGGGCTCTACTGCTAGTCTTGCTATAAGTTTCTTGCCAGAACAGTCTAAACGAAATGAGTTGGTTTTGAACTCAGACGTAATTTAATATTTCTCAGTACAATCGATTCAGACCCAACAATGACCTTCCACCTGGGAACCGGATAAATATATTTTGCCATTTGTGACAAAAGGATTCTTCCTGGGCTTTATCGATCCCGAGACAACACCAATGTTGCTAAAAGCCGAAGAGAGGTCATTAAACTTAGATAAGGTGAAGCCAAGGTCTTTTTAGAAAGACCACATCCGAAATTTAGGATTAGCTTAAGCTATGATACCAAGTGAGTGTTGACCAAAAAGGTTTGTTGGAAACAGTGTAAAAGAGGCTCTTTTAAAGGGGAACGGTAGATAAAAATTCTCCCGTGTCCGGTAAACAAATAAAATGGCTTATTCGCGATCCTTACAAGAAAAGAAATAGATAAATTGTTGAAATGTCGGTCTGCGAAAATGTAGAGGTTAAAAAATTATTGAAATATGTTATAGGAATAAAAAAAAGAAAACATCTTCGTTGGGAATGCGCAGATTATGATGAGAAAAATTAAGAAAGAAAGAAAGAAAGAAAGAAAGAAAGAAAGAAAGAAAGAAAGAAAGGCAGAGAGACAAAACGAAAGAAAGAAAAGCAGAGAGACAAAACGAAAGAAAGAAAGAAAGAAAGAAAAAAGAAAGAAAGGCAGAGAGACAAAACGAAAGAAAGAAAGAAAGAAAGAAAGGCAGAGAGACAAAACGAAAGAAAGAAAGAAAGAAAGAAAGAAAGAAAGAAAGGCAGAGACAAAACGAAAGAAATAAAGAAAGAAAGAAAGGCAGAGAGACAAAACGAAAGAAAGAAAGAAAGAAAGAAAGAAAGAAAGAAAGAAAGAAAAGAAAGAAAAAAGGCAGAGAGAGAAACGAAAGAAAGAAAGAAAAAAAAGAAAGGTAGAGAGACAAAAACGAAAGAAAGAAAGAAAAGAAAGAAAGAAAGAAAGAAAGGCAGAGACAAAAACGAAAAGAAATAAAAAAAGAAAAGAAAGGCAGAGAGACAAAACGAAAGAAAGAAAGAAAGGCAGAGAGACAAAACGAAAGAAAGAAAGAAAGAAAGAAAGACAAAACGAAAGAAAGAAAGAAAGAAAGACAAAACGAAAGAAAGAAAGAAAGAAAGAAAGAAAGAAAAGAAAGAAAGAAAGAAAGACAAAACGAAAGAAAGAAAGAAAGGCAGAGAGACAAAACGAAAGAAAGAAAGAAAGAAAGAAAGAAAGAAAGAAAGAAAGAAAGAAAGAAAGAAAGGCAGAGACAAAACGAAAGAAAGAAAAGAAAGAAAGAAAGGCAGAGACAAAAAACGAAAGAAATAAAAAGAAAGAAAGAAAGGCAGAGAGACAAAACGAAAAGAAAGAAAGAAAGAAAGAAAGGCAGAGAGACAAAACGAAAGAAAGAAAGAAAGGCAGAGAGACAAAACGAAAGAAAGAAACAAAAAAGAAGAGACAAAACGAAAGAAAGAAAGAAAGAAGAAAGAAAGAAAAGAAAGAAAGGCAGAGAGACAAAACAGAAAGAAAAGAAAGAAAGAAAGAAAGAAAGAAAGAAAGAAAGAAAGAAAGAAAGAAAGAAAGAAAGAAAGGCAGAGAGACAAAACGAAAGAAAGAAAGAAAGGCAGAGAGACAAAACGAAAGAAAGAAAGAAAGGCAGAGACAAAACGAAAGAAATAAAGAAAGAAAGAAAGGCAGAGAGACAAAACGAAAGAAAGAAAGAAAGAAAGAAAGAAAAGAAAAAGAAAAAGAAAAGAAATGCAGAGAGACAAAACGAAAGAAAGAAAGAAAGGCAGAGAGACAAAACGAAAAGAAAGAAAGAAAGGCAGAGACAAAACGAAAAGAAACGAAAGAAAGAAAGAAAGAAAAAAAGAAAGAAAGAAAGAAAAGAAAGGCAGAGAGACAAAACGAAAGAAAGAAAGAAAGGCAGAGAGACAAAACGAAAAAAGAAAGAAAGAAAAGAAAGAAAAAGAAAGAAAGAAAGAAAAGACAGAGAGACAAAACGAAAGAAAGAAAGAAAGAAAGAAAGAAAGGCAGAGAGACAAAACGAAAGAAAGAAAGAAAGAAAGAAAGAAAGAAAGAAAGAAAGAAAGAAAGAAAGAAAGAAAGAAAGGCAGAGAGACAAAACGAAAGAAAGAAAGGCAGAGAGAGAAAACGAAAGAAAGAAAGAAAGGCAGAGAGACAAAACGAAAGAAAGAAAGAAAGAAAGAAAGAAAGAAAGACAGAGAGACAAAACGAAAGAAAGAAAGAAAGAAAGAAAGAAAGGCAGAGAGACAAAACGAAAGAAAGAAAGAAAGAAAGAAAGAAAGAAAGAAAGAAAGGCAGAGAGACAAAACGAAAGAAAGAAAGGCAGAGAGACAAAACGAAAGAAAGAAATACTAAAAAAAAGACAGAAAGAAGGAATGCACATCGCTGAAGAAATAAGAGACACAGAAAAAAAAAAAGATTTCTTAAACAAAAGAAATAGAATGGAAAAAATATTTAAAAAAATATTTAACTGGAAAAGTTGATTTGAGAGAAAAGAAAGCGATTATATTAAGAAAAAAGAGACGAAAAGAAAGAAAAAAGATCGCGTATTGTAGAAATAAAGCGAATAAGAAAAGGAAAAAAAACGAATACACGAAGGGAAAAAAAGAGAGAAAATCAATTCAGTTTAATTGCTTTTAACAAAAGAAAGAAAAGAAAAAAGTCTGAATGTAAGAATAAGTGAAAGAAGAGAAACAGCAAAGGATCTTAATTGGGTCCAGTTAACATTTAAATATTATAGGTCAGATGACAAAGATTTCTTAAATACTCGAAAACGTTCATTCTCTCGAAAGATTACATATGTAAAGGCAAGGATTTAATAAACAAATGCGTCAAAATTTTAATTCCCTCTAATTATTACATATATAACGACTACGAGCTGCTAAATGCAAACTTTAAAATGTTCAGCCACTCTAATGACTGCATCTTATATGTGTAGGATTCAGTAAACAGACTAAAATGTTCATTCTCTCTTCATTATTGATTTATAAAGGCAAGAATTTACTAAACGAATATATCAAAACTTTCATATCCTGTAATAACATATATAAAGTTTATGTTTTATATAAGGTCAACGTTTTTTTTTTGGGGGGGGGTATCTCGAGGTGGTGTAATGGTTAACAAGCTTGTCTTACGACAACAATTACGACTGAATAGTGCGTTCGATCCTCAATGAGTACCCCATATTTTCGGCTACGCTTGGAAAATTACTACAACGTTAATGCTTTATGAATACGTTAAATATTTCAAAATATAATTCTCTCTGAGGATTACATATATAACAGATAGGATTTATTAAACAAATACGTAAATACATTCCTTCCTTCTCGTCATTAGATATTTATCAGGACAGAGAGCAATGGAAGAAAGATTTATTCTCCCATTTACGTTTCCCTGTTGTGGATATTATTATATCCGTGATATATTAACACCGTACTTCACAGACAGAACGGAATGGCTGAAAGAAAAAAGGAATGACAAACATGTTTTATTTTCAGAGAAACTTTTACACTACTAAGACTTACATAAAACTATTTATACATATTTACAAATACTACACAGAAACAAATATATCACATATATATATCACATATATCTACATGGAAAAGCAGAATGTAAGAAGAAAACAAAAAGGAAGGGTCTTACATATAATATGGAGATACTACTGTATCTGGAGAAGCCATATTTAAGACTCTAGATTCAAACGGGTCAGATTCATCTACTATGCCCCAGGGAAGGACATATTCGACGAACGGGAAACAGAGAGTTTGGGGTTTTCCCAAATTGAGGACTACGAGCTGGAGTTTCTTTTTATATCTGGGAAAGATATATTTCCAAAGGGAAACGGGACCATGAACTTGTAAACTGCTGGGGAGGCAGATTTAGTCTCTGCCCGGGCTATGGTTAAATAAAGCAACCTTTCAGTTTGGCTGCTGTGATCAAACAGAAATTGATCGTCGCTTTCATCACTGTATGGAGTGATATCCCAGAACGTCCCTCGCGTGACTTAACTCCACCAAAGGGAGATAAGCGCCGTCTATATCCCTATATATATATATATATATATATATATATATATAATGGCTGGAATTTATTAAAGAAATACGTCAAAACTTAAAAAAAAAAAAAAAAAAAATCTGTGAAAAATAAAAAATACATTTGGCACATCCTAATATAATACAACATTAATAATAATAATAATATGAAGGATTATATTGTTTTATATATATATATATATATATATATATATATATATATATATATATATATATATATATATATATATATATATGAAATAAACTTTGGAGAAAAAAATTTGTGGATAAATACCTCAAAATTAATAAATAAATAAAACGAAAACAGTTCTGTATTTTTTCTTTCTCTTTCAACGAACCGACAGAAATATCTGTTAGTGTTTGCGATCATTTTACAAATTGGTTGGGCTGATAGCTTTTCATCATCCCCTCGGAGAAAATACAGAAGGAGGCTTGCAAAAATTTAAATTAATATTAGAAACTTTATTGTGGTTAACACATGAAAATCAAAATTCAAAAATCTAAAAATACAATCTCAAGTTAAAAGGCGTCCGACTTCGAGGTAATTTCGCGCTTGTAACATTGTTAATCCACAAATTTAATATCCACGATGAATCAATCTACATTCAGTCGTTCTTGTGCGCCGATGTTCGACAGTCGGGACTCCATCTCATCAACTCAGATTCAAATTAAACTCGATATGCTGAATACTATGAAGTAACTAAATAATTGGAGCAACACTATCAATTGTTTATGTTATCTTAAAAACAATACAAAAATAGGCATGATTGGGTGAGAAGGGTGAACCCTTGCGAAAACAGCAAATCAATGCGCATATATAAAACAGAATCTATTTTTGAGAATTAAATATATAACAAGCTCATTGACTATGAAATTTCAAAGCACCATTCTATCCTGACCAGAAAATCGAATATAATTATTTGGAAGAACAAATATCAGTGGATTTTGCAGTGTTAGAAAATCCGAAAAGCTTGGAAAGGTATGGATTCGCCCGAACCTGTCTTCCACATTTATAAGTCGACCATTGAATAATGCTATCATATCTGATTTGGTGCTTCTGCTATGGATTTAGAGATTCTTCATAAAATTCAAAGAAACTGCATTGCTGTCGGTGCTGACGTGGAATCTTGACTTCACTCACTTTCGCACCGCCGTAATATAGCTTCCCTGTAACTTATCTATTAATATGTTCATGGTAATCTTTCTGATGAGCTTTCCTCTCTGGTACCTTGAATTTACGAATTCAAGCGCAGTGCTAGATTGGCGGCTAGGTCTCATCATTTTATAGTGGAAATGGCTAGATGTAATCGTAAGTTCTATGCTAACAGTTTCTTCTATCGCACTTTCTTTTTCGGCCTCTTGGATTTTGATCGCAGTTTTTCTTTTATATTCAATTTCGTAGGAATTTTAGCAGTGTTTAGTATAGGAAATGAAATGAAAATCAGGCCCAACATTTTTTTACGGACGCACGCATAAACACAAGTAAATTTAATAATAATAATCAACAAAAAATAATAAAATAAATAATGAGTAGAAAAGTTAACAAACAACCCTGTAAAATAGCCAAAAAACTGCATTCGGATCAACAATTATTTCCACTCAATATCCCCTAGAATAAGTCAAAATATAATTGTTAGTGCCCAACCAAATAACCGTTATTATAATACAATAAGCTTATCACTGATGAGCATATATAACTAGTCGAGTCAAAACACAATGCACATGGCCTGACGATTGCGTTTTAAACATTAGAAACAGGCTCTCACCACTGAGCGTTGACTTCAATGTCCATCTTTATATTTACATATGATCTATCCGTGATATTGTGCACTTTAACCCATAAATATAGCATACCTTAAATCTATCTATCTATCTCTATCTCTCTCTCTCTATATATATATATATATATATATATATATATATATATATATATATAGAGAGAGAGAGAGAGAGAGAGAGAACGTGAAATGTTGGCCCCTAGCTTTTGTGCTATAAACTAACTGACATTTAGTGTTCTTTTCAGCGTATATATATATATAGTAGCATACGTTTCCTGACGTATTTTAACTATGTTCTGTGTTGGGGTGGGGGTCGTTTAGGTTACTCTGTACTGTAGACTATCTAATCGAAATCAAAATGGCGACGTCAATGCAAAGTCACCGTTAGTGTCTTTATAGTCATTTATTTTCAGCAAATAGAAATTTCCTATTTTTCCCAAAACAGTCAGACAAGAATGCTACACCACTGAATCAGTGTATGTGTTAATATCACCAATAAAGAAATTGGCTCCGTCTTAAAAAAAAAGACTTCTTTTTAAATCAATAGGAATCCTTTTTTTTTAAAAGAATAATCAAGAGTATACTGATTGGATGAATAAATGATTTCGGAACAATCTCGGGTGTTGACTGTGTCTGCTTTTTTATCACTCTTTTGTTATTTATTTCTTGGTTTGAATTATTTATAGGCTTTGTCTTGTTTGGCACAAGGCTTCAAGTTACTTTGAGTGCATGTTTCTAAATAGCCAGCTAAGTACAAATCAGGATCATTGATGTTTAACTACAGGCAGTTGGCAGGAATCAATGCCTTCAACATGACTTGGTTATAAGCCGATTAAGATTTCTTATAATCTGTAAAATACAAAAAAGTGCAATGATTCTCACTTAACCCAGGCATTACCGCTGAACCCTGCCATTTTCCAATTCTGATTTACAAAGAAGGTCAGAACAGCTGGGAAATTTAGAGAAACACAATATTTTTATACCCACTCCTTCTATTTTGTTTTGCTTTAATAACATCAAGATTAAAGATGTAAAGAAAAAGTGACAGGGGAAAATAGTAAGGTGAACTGGTCTCTCTAGCCTTTACGTTGGAGCCAGTCAAGGTGAAGGACGACTCTGAATTAAAAAAAAAAGAACTTGGCGAAGCAGCGGAAAAACTCACAAAAGTCAGTAGAGAGCCATGACCGTCTAGGTTGTGAAAGAACATAACATTAAGAAAATATTAATAGTGTTAGTTGCGGTCTGGTAAGCTTAGCTTAGTTTGATAAAAGGTCACCTATCCAATATCGACCTTGCTACTCAGTAATAATGGTAAACCAGACTAGCTCGTTAACCATCAACTCGCGACAAGGTGCTCGTTAATAGTAGTAGACTAAGAAAACAGGTTCTATTTCAATATGTGTCTATATTTCTGAGATGAAGTATTATAACCATTTACACTGTTCAGACTATTGTCCTCATCTTTTTATGAAATTCTGAAAATAAATATTTCTGTGGTTTTCAAATATGCCAAAAAAGAGAATTTGTTACTCAAACAATAGACACATACG